AAAAAAAAATTGTTTTTATTATGTAGATGTGTATTTCTTTACCACAAAAAGCCAATAAGAAACTCCAAAACGATCACGACCTAATGCTATTGATTTGATTTCTCTTGCTGATTTATCAGCAAGTATTTTTGTAAATGTTTGATTTAGATCAAAATGACTTTCAAGTAAATTCTAATCATAGAAATTGTGAATTCAAAATTATACAAAAAATCTTCTTTTTTACTTTCAAAATTCGAATTTTAACATTAATTTCTGCTTGTAAATATCCTGTTGTTGTTAAATGATCGGCATCATTTAAATCAAATCGAGAAGCAAACTATTAAGAAAAAAATTTCAATAGATTGTTAAAGAGAAACAGAACAATTGATTTACTCGAGTAATAATTGAATCAAATTTATCTCGTTGTGTATTTTTCGCTAATGATAATCGTTTAAGAAGAATAAAATGAAAATCAATCAGACGTGGTGGAACTATATTAAAACAAATTTATTATAAAAGAATTATATATAAATAATATACTTCGTTCTTGATAATTAATCAAATGATCTTCAAGTCGTTGAAATGAATACTTTGGTAAATCGAGTATTGTCCGAAATTTTTCAAGAAAACAAAGAATTATTCCATAATTTGCATCATTTAGTAAGGATAATCGACGTTGATCTTTTTCATCATTATTGTTATTAATAGTAATATTATTATTATTATCTTGTGGACTGAATTCAGTAGAAATTTCTTCTTCAGTAATCATTTGTGTTTTTTATTTATTTTTATTATTGGTAGAACTTTATGTACAATTCTAACCATTCGAATTGATGACAATTTATTGAAAGATCTAAAACAATATATATATTATTATAGATAAAAGAAAAAATTGTTTGTCATAAACGATTTTTATTTTGCTTTCTTCGTTCATGCTGTTGCCCTCGTCCTCGTCTGTAACCGATTCCAATTTTTATCATCTTTGTTAAATAAAAAATATAATTTGTTAAAAAGTTAACGACTCTAAATAAAATAGCATAGATGTCGCTAGTAGAGTTTCTACTATACCTGTTTTTAATGATCTATTGTACTATTGAAAGATATTGTTTAGATTTTATAATTTGTGACTGAATCTATTTTTCTTTTTCTTCTTCGTGGTAAAGATTATAAGTAAAAAAAAGAGGTCGATATATACAAATGTTATATATTTACCAGTTAAAAATAGTATTTCTTTTTGAATTAATATAGGCTTCATTACTTACTTATTAGTAATCACGTCAAGTGCAAATAAAATAAGAAATGATTACTCGTAAAACAAAGAATGAAGTGAAAGTTATTAAAAAAGTAGACCAATCGTCAATTATTTAGTGATTAATGTTTTTTTTTATTTTCAAAAACGTAATCTCCGCACCTGTTTTCTCCGCGTGGTCTACTCTGGACATATTAATATTCATGAAATGAAGACTGCTAAGAAAAGTAATTCTTCTTAACATGAAGATCTTGTGCTTGTCAGTTTGCGTAATTTATTAAATATGTAGCACGGATTTTTGACGCGTGAGACTCTTAAAATACCATGACAAAGAAAAATAGAAGAACTTTGAAACTATAAGCATTTGTGTCCATTATCTCTACACTTATACATTATTAGAAGTTACACCTATGTACGATGAAATATTTATGAGTAGTAGTAGTCGTTTGAGATGAAAATTTTTATTATTAAAAGTATTGCTAAGGCTAATAGTATACAAAGATATTCGTGAATATTATGACAAAAATAGATGTTAAATAAAAAGGAAAAAGTATCTAACCTTCTTCCTTCCACCTGTATGACATATAAATACAACAGGTAGTATTAATATTAATTCAGTCTTTGTTCGAAATACCACGATAGCAACCTCATCGTATTATAAATTTATCGACTAGTACACTTTTTTATTCATATACATGGGTGCGAGTACTTCTGTAACATCTTCGACTGACATTAAGTCTGAACAATGCGCAAAATTAATCGCAAATGATAAAACACAAGTATGTCTTAGATAATTTTTTTGTTTGAACGCCTATCTTAGAGTCATTTGTATTACTGATTATAATTGATGTTTATGCAATTTCTTAGATAATGTCAGGCCTTTCATCGTATGATCTTGTTTGTTTGGGTGTTGGTAAAGGTGCTACTTCTGTTTATTCAAATCAAACTAGTAGTTCATTTGCACTTCTACGTCGTGCAACAGATGAATGTATACTTCTCATTGATATTGGTCTTGGTTCAATTTTTGCTCTTCAAAAATATGTCAAAGACTTTAATATCAAACCTCGACAAATATTTGTTTCACATAATCATACAGATCATAGCGGAGAATTACCTGTATATATTGCTAATGAAGCTTTAAAATCTATTGTACGAGTTTATTGTTATGCTGGCATTCAATCTCGTCTACGACAATATCGTTGTGCTGAACTCGATTCATCAACAACCGATCTTTTTCGAAATGTACAATGGATTACATGTGATGAATCAAAAGATGTTGAACTTGATTCAGGTGATCCAAATTCAATATTAAAAATACGTGTTCAACGAAGTCAACATAGTGAATTATGTGCAGGTTTTGTTCTTTATGAAAATAATCAAGCAATTCTTAGTTTTTCGGGAGATTCAGGTTTTAATACACCATTTTATACATTTCTTTGGAATGCTCCAACAATTTTAGTTGATGGTCGTGAAACAAGTACCTACGAACACGCTAGTTTCGATGAAATATTAAATTTTTATAAAACATCAAGTATTTCACGACAAGTTTTTGTTTATCATTATGGTCTTGAAAATGATAAACCAAAATTTCCTATTGATAATGTATCAGCTGTATCACCTGGTCAAACTATACAATTAATGTTGTCTTTATAGACTTCATTTCATGTATTCTAAACATTTTCAAAGTTTTGAATTTACTGACAAATAAATATTCTTCTTTCTTATAATAATATTTTTAATTCAAGTTAAAAACAAACATTTATTTTCTTTAAATTTTAAAAATAAGTAACAAAATACATTTCAAATATACGGTATATTATTTTCCATCATGTGGATTTAAGTTACCTTGCTTATCTCGCCATATCCCATCAAGACTGAGTCGACCATATTGATGTGTTGATTGATTTTGATATAAAGCATCTATCCAATCTTTAACTATTAATGGTGAATCAATCATAGCATTGATTTCCTATAATAAAAATCAATTTATAATTAAAGAAAAAACAAAATTTTCGTTAATTTACTTGAGAATGAAACCAAGATTGACTATCCATATTACCATTACCCATAATAGCTACTTGACCATCGATAGCCATAAATTTTATATGACAATTTCGTTTTTGTTGTGAAAAATTAAGTGGTCGTGTTTGATCTAAACAAAAATTATTTCATAATTACAAATATCTTTTTTAAATATATTTTAACAAACCTTTTCCTGTATACCAAAAAACTTCAAGAAAACGTTCAGCTCCATTATTTTCATCTCTTAATGTCTTATATAATTTTTTTATAACATGTTCATTTGTTCCTCCTTGAAATGTTCCATGTCCCTCTTTTGAATCATTAAAACCTAAATCAAGCCATAGAATAACTTGAACTCCTCGTTGACATGCTTGTATAATTCCATTAATAGCTGGTTTAGCATTTAAAGTAGGTGATTGAATAAATATCGATTTTTCTGCATAACGAAATGCACCTAACCATGCAGCATCTTGAGGATTTGCTGTATCTGAATGACCAGGTGCACCATGAGGTAAACGATTAACTAAAGCTATAGGAAATGGTTCATGTGGTTCATGAAAAATAAATGGTGTAAAATCTCGAGCAAGTTTTTCTAAATTTTGTTTAGAAAGATATTCATCTGGCTGTGTTTTTCTAGCTGATTTAGCTGATAGATTTAAATGATGTGTTAATGGAGTACTTTGAGATGATAATAAAGGTTCTTGAAAATAAATTTCTGTTTGTTTATCATCTAAATGATTTTGAAGTCTTAAACGTGCTCGAGCTACTGCATTTTGTAATGGTTCGTTGAATGAAACAATTTTTGAAGATTCAATACCAAACTGGAATTCAATTTCAGTTGTTGCATCATCATTTAAACAAACAAGACTTGGATCAAATGGTACCCACCATGAAATAAGAAATGTATCATAAAATGAATTAACAATATCACCTTCATATTGTGACATCATTTCAAGATTAGGTCGATCTTGTATATTATTACTATTTAATATCGCAATACGACGATCAATAACCATAAATTTTGAATGAAATGTTCCCATTATAAGACGATGATAATTATTTATTTCAAGTGATATATTAGGAATTTCATCAGGTGTTGGAATATCATAATGTGACCATTTATGATGTGGAAGAATACTATGAAAATGTGCTAGATTCTCTTTTGTTGGATGATCAATCATTAATTTAAAAATAATTTGACGATTTTCATCTCGTGCACGTTTATTTAAATCACGTATTGCTTTACCAATAATAGTAACACTATGACCTTTTTCCCAATAATTTGTTGCAAATAAAACTTCTTTTTTTGCATTAACTATACAATGATAATAATGTTGCATTATATCTGGAATAGTTGAAATAATAGTTAATGGAACAACACCAGATGAACCAATTAATGCGGGTGAAACACGACCACATAAGGGATCACGTTGAAGTGTAGCTATAACATTATGAAATAATTTAAGAAAAAGTTTACTTGGACGATAAGGAAATCGACCAAATTCAGCAGCAAAATCAAGTTCTTCTTCTGTTATTTCATGTGTAGATGTTTCGTGATTTAACATTGATCGTAAGAAATGTAATGGTTTAGAAAATAAAATATGTGTTGCTTCTTTTGCACTTTTAACAGTTGCGGAATCAGATGCTAATAATGATGTTACCGTTTCTTTAGATAGATTATCTGCTGGAGGTAATTGAACACGATTAAGCATTTCGCTAGGTACTGCGGCCATTATTGAGTTGGATCTTGGATGCATCATCATTTTGTATTCTTCAAGGGCGTATAAAAGAATATAAGTACTTTTTTTGTATTATATACTGAATAGTAGGATATATATATGTATGTTTTCGTTTAATAATCAAATGACATCATCAATAATATATCGAAAACAAATGCGTAGAATAGCAATTATCATTGGTGTATATTATATAAGCAAAACAGACATTGATAACGAGATAACAAAAGGTAAAAAATAAGGAGAAAGAATACAAAAACAAACGTGTGATTATAAGTCAATGCTCATTATAATACGTATCAGCATAACGACAAGGCTGAAATTATGAAATACTAGAGGTATATTCTCGTTATATAAAAACGTGTTTAATTATATAGTGCTTAACCTTGTTTCATCGTTTAAATGTTTATTTAAACAAGAAAGGTATATACAGTTGTTTGTCTGTTATTCTAGCAGATTGCTGTTTCTTTTTAATAGCTTGAAAATTGATATGGTGTATGTAATGAATACGTAGATACTATGATCACAGCCTCATTTTCTATTGTAATATCGCTTAATTTAATATTTTTATAAATCAACAATAAAAAATCTTTTACTACTATAGAACAAGCAAAAATTTCATCTCCTGAAATTTAATTGTAGTTTTACAAGTTACATAGAAAGATGTTAAATAAAGTATTTATTTTAATCGTTTTATTAATTATTTGAATAATAAAATATATTTGTTACATATTTTCGCTAGGATTAATAAATATTACAGTA